TTTGCATAAGTAAAAAATAAAATAAAATTTATCCCAAAGATGGCGAGAAACAGGGTATATTGTAGGAGAAAAGGAAAAAGAATAATTAGGAATTAGCTGGAAAAGGGGAAGGCCTGCCTGAACATCCATGTTTTCAGTTGTTTCTTAAAAATACCCAGCGAGGGAGCTGCGTGAATCTCAGGAGGTAAGTTGTTCCAGAGGTGAGGAGCCACCGCCGAGAAGGCCCGGTTTCTTGTTTTTTCCTTCCGGGCCTCCCTTGGCGTCAGGCTCCTCAGCCTCACCTCCTGACTCGCACGGGTGACACAGGTAGAACTCGGTGGCAGAAGGCGTTCCGCCAAGTATCGAGGCCCTAAACCGTTTAGGGCTTTAAACGTAAGCATCAAAACTTTGAAGTTAACGCGGAACCTAATGGGCAGCCAATGCAGCGCGGCCAGAATAGGAGAGATGTGATGGTATCTTCTCGCTCCACTTAGGAATCTGGCCGCTGCATTCTGCACCACTTGGATTTTCCGCGTCAGCCTCAAAGGTAGCCCCACGTAGAGCGCGTTACAGTGGTCTAACCTACACAGACTGATCAATACCTGCTGTTTGAGTCTTATCACGCATTGCAACACAAACTAGGGGTCATCAGGACGCTAAACCACACAGCAAGAAACATCCCCACCTCCATAGAAGCCGAGAAGAAGGAAGATGGACATCTGAAGATAGCCCTTAAGGCGTGTGGATATCAAAAATGGGCCTTTAACAAGGCAATGTACCAACCCAGGAGGACAATGGAACAGCCTGAAGCCCAGAGCTGATGGAAGAATCTGGTAATTCTTTACATGGTGGGTGTGTATGAAAAGCTCAAAAAGATTTTTTGTAAGCACCACATAATCCGTACACTTCAAACCCACAAACACACTAAGGCAGAGACTTGTCTACCCAAAACACCAGACACCAAAACACAACAAGAGCAATATAGTATATGCAGTCCAATGCAAAGAGGAGTGTTCGGAGCTCTACAGTGGAGAAACCCAAACAGCCACTAAACAGGAGAAAGGCCCACCACAGGAGGGGCAATGGCTGAGGACCACAATCAGCAGTGTTCCTTCATTTGAAGGACAAAGGACACTCATTTGATGACCAAGATGTACTCATTTTGGACTGAGAAGATAGATAGTTTGAGAGAGGCATCAGAGAGGCCATAGATGTGCATATAGAAAATCCCTCACTCAACAGGGGTGGAGGCTGTAGACACAATCTGTCTCCTATTTATCATGCTGCGCTTTCATCGGTCCCCAGAAAGATTAGGACCACACCCACCAGAAACAACCCATGATAATGGGTGGAAAAGGACTGCAGAAGTGGGATTTTTACTCCCCCCCCGTCTATTGTCCATCTAATGAGCCTAGTCAGACGGGGGGGGGTAATACCAACAGGGAGGATACATCAGGGATCTCCTACCAACTCTCTTCAGACTGAAGAAGCTACTTGGATGAGTAGTGAAACGTTTCAACTCAATAAGGAAGAACTTCCAGAGAATTGGAAGGGGCAAATTACCAAGGGAAAGTATGAAAAGTTAGCTAATATTTGTAGAGAGTAGGTTAGGAAAGCTCAAGCTAAAAAATGAGCTCAAACTTGCAAGAGAGGTAAAAAAGAGCAAAAAGTTATTTCTCAGCTGAATTCAAGGCAAAAAAAGAACAAGGAAATGGTAGATCCACTGCATGAAGAAGATGGAGAGAATTACGAAGGGACAGCAGAGAGAAGGCAAAATTGTTGAACCCCTACTTCCCTTCTGTTTTCTCAAAAAAGGAGAACATGCCCAACCTCCTGCAAGCATAATAAAAGAGGAAGTGAGAGGGTCGTGGCCCAAGATAAAAGAGGTAGTATGGAAGCACCAAGCTATTTTAATTGAATTTACATTTCCAAGTCCCAATAAACTCCATCTAAGGATACTAAAGGACCTTGCAGATGTAAACTCAGAACTCAAGAATTCTTCAAGAATTCTTGGAGAAGAGGTAAGGCTCTGAAGAGCCTTAAGCAAATGTCATCAACATTTTCAAAAAGAAGAATAAAGAAGATCTGGGCTGACATCAATACCAAGAAAGACTCTACAACAGATTGTTAAACTGTCTGTGGCACTTAGAAAAGGATATTTTGATTTCACTGTCTGTGGCACTTAGAAAAGGATATTTTGATTTCTGAGACTCTGCATGAGTTTCTCAAAAGCAAGTCATGCCACACTAATCTTAAGTCTTTATTAGGTAGAGTCACAGACTTGATAGATAAGTTGGTCTTGATTTCAGCAAAGCTTTTGACAAGATCCCTCATGATATTCATGCATCCAAGCTGGTGAAATGTGGGCTAGATTATGCTACAATTAAGTGGATATATAGCTGGTTTATGGGTTGCACCTGATAGCTACACATCTGTTCCAGGGTTGGGGTCATTCAGTATCTTTATAAATGACTTGGACAAAGCTGTGTAGAGGATGCTTATTAAATCTGTAGATGACAATAAATTTGGAAGGTTAGCTAATACATCGAAAGAAGAATCAGGATTCAAAGTGACACACACACACATGCAAACTCAGGAGGAGGGAACCAGAAGTAATGGATTCAAATTGCAAAAAAAGGCTATTTTGACTAAATATTAGCAAGATCTTCCTAAGAGTGAGAGCCATTCAACAGTGGAATTGACTGCTTCAGGGAGTGATGGACTGTCCTTCACTGGAGCTTTTTAAGTAGACCCTGGATAGCCACCTCAGGGATGCTTTAGCCATGGGTTCTTGCACTGTTGGGGCTGGATTTGATTACCATTTAGGTATATTCCAGATGTACACTTCTATGCTCCTATCACATATTAAATTATTTATGTACTTATGTGAGAGATTTCTGAGAGGCATATATACCAACATTGTATATAACATTCTGAAGAGTTCTGAACTTCTGTATTTCATGCAAAACGTATTTCATTAAAAAAACAAAGACCAGTAGATTTGAGGGCTGGCAAAGATATTTTGCTACCTAAGGTGCAGCAAATCCTTCTCTTCCTCATGCATCCAGTCCAAAGCTGCTTGATTTATTTTGGCAACAGAGGCAGAAAAACACTGGGTTCCTCTTCTCTCTGTCACAGTAAAAATACCATAATAATAAATTAAAATAATAGTGACCTGCCCTTTAAAGTCACCATAATTGCTTTCATGCAAATGTTTGTTCAGTATGTAATTATAATTTGTTCAGTATAACATTAGCATATTGTTTCAGAGGGTCAGAATTCGGCAGGAGCACTTATGTTAGTCAACAAATAACTAGTGAAGTAGGAGGAAGAAATGCAGCATAGTATTCATGCTCTCTATTTGGAGTATCGAACAGAATGTTAGACCATGGTGAAGCTGACAGAGTGCCCTTCAGTCAAATCTTGTGTTTATTCCAGGGCTATTATGAGGAAAATGTCAGTTACATCACCCTTTAGTGTGTTTTTTAATTTGGGTTGGATGTACATGTGGTAAAATCAAATAATAAATGTTTTGGGAATTAAACTGGACTTGAAATAGCTCTAAATTGGGAAATTATTGATTTAGTTTAATTCTGAGGTGTACTTAGCTCTGGTTATAATCACATTGGCTGGAATTGGCTCAATGGTGACACATAAATGGTGATGATGTGATCACATTGCAACAAAAATCTTTAATTTAATCAATGTTAAAACTTTCTATCACCTAGTCATAGAATAATGAAGTTGGAAGGAGCCTATAAGGCCATTGAGTCCAACTCCTGCTCAATGCAGGAATACAGATCAAAGCAGATCTGACAGGTGGTTGTCTAAATTTCTTCAGGATGCCTCCAGTGTTGGAGCACTCACCAACTCTCAAGGTAATTGATTTTATTGCCGTACTGCTCTAACAGGACGTTTTTCCTGACATTCAACAGAAATTTGGCCTCCTGTAACTTGAGCCCATTGTTGTGTGTCTGGGATGATTGAGAACAGATCCTGCACCTCTTCTGTATCATAGCCTCAGGTATTTGAAAAATGCCCTCATTATTGATTGATTGATTGATTGATTGATTGATTGATTGATTGATTGATTGATTGATTGATTGATTGATTGATTGATTGATTGATTGATTGATTGATTGATTGGACTTATATACCGCCCCATAGCGCTACAAGCACTCTCCGGGCGGTTTACAATTTTAATTATACAGGCTACACATTGCCCCCCCAGCAAGCTGGGTACTCATTTTACCGACCTCGGAAGGATGGAAGGCTCTCCCCTCAAACTTCTTTTCTCAAGGCTAAACATGCCTGGTTCTTTCAGTCTTTCCTCTTAGCTTTCAGCCCCCTGATCATCTTTGTTGGCCTCCTCTGAACTTATTTAAATTGTCTGCATCCTTCTTGAAGTGTGGTGTCCAGAAGTGGACACAATAATCACGCTGAGGCCTAACCAATGCTGAATAGAGGGGGACTAGTACCATGCGGGATTTGGAGAATATACTTCTGTGAATGCAACCTAAAATAGCATTTGCCTTTTTTGTAGCCACATCACACTGGTGGCTCATATTCAGCTTGTAATCTGTGACAATTCTAAGATCTCTTGTTTAGGTTCTGTGGTTCCCATGGATCCCCTTTGCCCAGGGGGAGCCTCTAGGATATTTAGGAGAGGGCTGGGGACAGGAAGCCTTTAATATCAGAAAATTGCCACCAAATCACCAGTGGTGGTCCAAATCCAGCAGTAGGACTGGCAGTGGTGATTTTCTAATATTAAAGGCTTACTGACACCATCCCAAAGCTCCCAGAGGCTTCTCCCGTGCAGAAGGGAACTCTAGATAACCTTGTAACTTGAAAGGGGGTTCAAATAGGAAGTTTTAGCATTAATTAAATTAAAGGTTTCCATTGTCAGGTATGACATCATCATCATCATCATTTGCGCAGTGGAGTTGCACCAACTTGATTTCAACCATTAAGTTCAAATATTTAAGTATTGTTAAAGAAGTAAAACTATTGTCCTTTGTTTTTCAGAAAGCAACACCTACATCAGTCTAGAAGCTTGAAGAAGTGTTTGACAATGGATGCAGATGATGAAGAGAATATGAGTAAGATGTGTATATTACATGGTGCTGGGAAGCAGAATACCACTGAAGCTACTTGCCTTTTTGTCGTCAAAAACATTTTGTTTTAAGCTTGAGTGAAATCATGACAATTTATCTCCATTAGTTGCATACCGTAAAATATATTGGTGGCTGCATATCAAAGTGATTTCTCAGATAAAGACCCATTTTACTGTCCTTGAAAAAGGACTCTTAAGTGCTATTGAAATTTGAGAAGATTCAAATGTAAGATTCAAAGATTCACTGTGCCCTTGGACCCAGCAGAAAATTGTGTCTCAACCCCTTGCTTATTTTTTCAGAACTGTTCCTTGTTCAGGCCTAGTTTGCTGTCCTATGGACCAGGAGTGAGCAAGCTCTAGAGATTCTGGGGCCAATTTTCTATTCACATGATCTATCGTGCCCCTTGTCTCAAACAAACAAACAGAACAAAAAGCAAAAACCACAGCATGCTGTATCATGGTGTGCCATGCCATATTCAGTTCTATGAGAATTTGTTTTTATAGACATAGTCTTTTGGTTGGGTTAGTATTCTTATGGATCATAGTTCTTGTTGTCTGTTTTATGCCTTTGTAGAATATTAAAGATATATCTGCTCTGAAGAACAATGCAGCTAGGTCCACACACCCAAGAAGCTAATATCTCAAATCTCTCCCTTGAAAGTAAGAGAAGTTTCAAAAGCTCTTTGTGATAGGCCATGGAAGTACTGTATGATATTCAGAAAAAGACCATTCAAAAATCCAGGCATGTGGAAAATGGCTCCTTGTATCCTAACTGTTGCATCCATTATGTTTATTTATTTATTTAATTTATTTCTTTGATTTAGATACTGCCCAATTAAAGCAATGATTTCTTAATATAGATTTATAGATTTGTTATAGATTTCTTAATATTTTTATGCAGTTAGGTATGTTGGGTTTTTTTGGTAATTTTTTAATAAATAGCTATTTTATGTGGTTGATGATGGTGGTTGTGTGTGTGTGTGTGAGAGAGAGAGAGAGGGAGAGGGAGAGGGAGAGGGAGAGGGAGAGGGAGGGAGAGATCTTGGAAGCTGAAACAAATAAAAATATGTTTCTTCTTCCACAGTATATTGCTTTAATTATATGGTACATTCATAGGCAGGTCCTAAGTTGTGAAGGTTTTCCTACTTTTTTCTTGGTAGGAATATTCATGGTAAATCAGTAAGGTCAGTGGCCTTTAACAATATCATTAGATTATCATGGATCTTATTGTATACTAAGACATTATTGTTAAGTTTATGTATACTTGCTAGATTTTGTTTTTTATTTTACAGTTGAGATGCAAGCATCCTTCTTCACTATATTACTTTGTCTTAAATGCTTCATCTTCTGTATGAGGATGCAAAAAAAGGAGTATGTTATCTAATGCTGGCTTTTTTTCCTATTACTAGTTTTTAAAGTATTGGGTCAGAAAAAATTCTTCTAGTTGCACTAAATAAAGTCCACATACCAACACAATGACATTTTTTTTAATTTTAAGAGAGTAGTGTTAATGTTATTTTACATTTTTTATGAGAATGCAGTGGCTAATCATATTTGACCCGTCTTTCTCAGTGTATACATTATTTTTCTAATAATGCTTTAATAGTTGTCCTGGGCTGTAGCAAGGAAACAAATTTAATTGATAATCTGTTGCCTTCTGTTAAAGGCCCAGTCAACTCATAGAGAAAGAGAAGAGTTTTAGAATGAGATGTGACAAAAAAATTACCGTATTTTTCGCTCCATAAGACGCACCTTTCCATAAGACGCACCAATTTTTTAGGAGAAGAAAACAGGAAAATATAATCTGTTTTCTTCGCTCCATAAGACACACAGACTTTCCACCCCCCTGTTTTGTGGGAAAAAAGTGCGTCTTATGGTGCGAAAAATACGGTAATCACTTTGCCAGTGTTAGAAAACATCTTTGTCTCCTTAGTGACCCAATACTAGAGCTCAAGACAAACAACTAGCACTGGATGTAGACCAAATGCCCAAGAATTTGTGAATGCTTCTTCAGGAAATACTTGTTTTTATTTCTGGAATTGGCAAGGATTTGGACTGTTGACCCTTGGAATTCCTTCAATTCTGTGGTTCTATGCCATAAAGTAGTGTTGGTTAAAAAACTTTAAATATCTTATTTTATATTTTTGAAGGGAATGCTTATGCTTAACTGAAAAATGATTTCCAAGATAAATTTTTGATATCAACCAATATCCAGTGGTGGTGGCCCACAGATGGATTGGTACAGTCCATTGGATCCTGGATGAGGGGGCACGATCCCCTATCCCACTTCACCTTTCGTGTGTGTTTCCAAAACCAGCTATAGAGGGCTGGGAAATCCTCTAGATTTTGGTGAAGGGGAGAGTTGAAGCTGGGTAGAGATGGGAGGAGAAATTTCCACTGTAGCTGTTAGGATGTTGAATTTAGCCCTATATCCATAGGCTGAAATCCTGTTGCTTCACAGAAGCTGAATTGTAACTTTTGGTCCATTCATCTCCAATGAATATACCTGCTGCAGTTTTTCAGGACATGCACTGGCTTGGTAGATGTGCGCAAATACCCTGAGGATCACAGTGGGGGCACTTTGTTCATGAGGGAGGAATAGACTAAAAGTCATGATTTGGTTTATGCTAAACAGTAGGATTTCTTCCATGGTCTAAATAAATTAATCCCAAATCAAAGACATTTCATATGAATACATACAGAACTTAATCTGTTGCTGTGAAATAAGTACTGTATCATAATGGAGCCTATATAAACTTTTCTCTGCCATCCAATCAGATTGACTGGCTTGTATGCAAAATAATCGCTACATAATCTTTTCAAAGGAGATTTGTGTTCATTTTCTTCCATAGAAAAGTCATCTGGGGAGGGATTTTTATGTGCCTAGGTTGTTTCCTTTCATGGACAGTTAGTGGGGTGTAACAGCTGTGTCTGATGCCCAGTTGATTGGGCCATATAAGGGCCTAGTGGACTTATATATTTTAACTCTGTGGTCAAAACCACATTGATTTGGTAGAACATAATGTACTCCTTATGTGGAAGTGATGCCAAATTAGAACATTACTAAAAAAAGATGGTGCTTCCTGAGAAATGTGTTTCCCATACATCGGAGGTGAACCAGGATACAAATGCCACCCATATGGACTACAGATGGGGTAAAAATGTTATAAGTGTCCTCATTCTGAACTGAATTCCATTTTTGTCATCTTGCCAGATCCAGGTTGGTTGCTTAGTGTGATGGTATCAACATGATTATTCGATAATTCTTATTTAGTTTAGAGAAGTAGGACAGGTGAGGAGGATGCCATCGTAGGGGCAGAAGAGGAGAAAGCCATGATGAATGGCAAGGGTAGGGAAGTGAGTAACTCTTTAAAAATTTTGCCTCACAATTTCCTTTTGACAACAAACATTTTTACAAGGGATTATATGATACTATTCTTTTTTCAGTATTCTAGTTCAGTGCTGCCTTGGAAACATAAGATCCTTTGATTGTACATGCTAATGCTAATCACATTGTTCTCTTGTATCTTTGTGTCCTGTTCCTTGCTTCCTGCCCAAAATTTGGCCACATAGGAAATGACGTTTTTCTGAAGATAGTGGTGTAATAACTTGAGACTGAATCAAGTGGAACTGGTTTTCAAATACAGTACTGTAGTTACAACATTAATTTCAGTAATATATTAATTTGTGTAAGTTCTGCTGATTTCAAAGGAATCTGCATCCAAACTAGTGATTGTTGGAATGAGTTATTTAGCCTCAGTCATGCAGTCATGTTCAATTCCTCTTAGTGACATTATATTGTTTTTTGCTGGAACTTTTGGTTTGCTGATTATCCTTCCTATTAGAAGTCTAATAGATTTGGATTAAAAATGAGTAGATTACCGTATATATATTTAAAATAAATTTGATTCACAGCAATATTAAGGTATTTAAACAAGAATATTTTGTACGTTAAGCATTAAAATATCTCAGCTATCTACAAATATAACATTTTCACAATTATTTCTCTCCCTAATGAATGGTTTAGCTTTAGTTCTACTACAGTAGTTGGAGAGGGAGCTTTCTTTCTAGGAAGATAGCCTTGTTATAAGGGAAAAATTGGTTCCTCATACATTTTTTAAACATGAAGGTCTAAACTATAGTGCTGGAAGTTGTGTGTGCTTTTTGTTTAGTGAAAATAATTTTAAATGATGGGGCTGTTAAGGAAGAGATTACAGCTACTCATTTGCTTACTTTTGAATATATCCACTTAACCTTTCATTTTAAGGAAACTGGACTTTAAAAACAATTTAATAACTTTGTCAACATTATTCTATCGACTGAAATGGAAGTATAGTGTTTTGCTTCAAACAAACTAAAAACCTCCAAAACCAGTTTGCTTATCTTGTAGTAAGACTTAAGAACTTTCAGATGGAAGTAATTGATCTGAAAGTGTTTTGTTTACTATATGTTTCCATTTCAGGTAAAATTTAAGATTTGATTAAATGCAATTTTAAGGAGTTTGCATTTATAATCATGAGAATGTTTTAAAATTGTATTTGCAACTGTTGTGCAAGCATTTATATCTTATATGTTTATAACTTGTGTGTTTCTATGCAGTTTCTTCTAATTTTCTGTTCTTTTGAGCACCGAAAGGAGTAACCTATCAAGCTTTTGCTGGAGGATGTTATAAATGAAAATTTAATAACTATTCCATCAGCTTTGTCAACTGGGTAAAGTGGTGTGTGTGCATGCTTTTAACTGTGAAATTTAAGAGAAATTTAGATATCTTACCCAGAAGAGCACATTTTTAATTTAGACCATACATCCTTAACAGTGTGACTATATTACTGCATCTTAACTCATCTAGTTTGGACAGTTTTCTCTAGGAAAGTGGAATGTTATTTTTCACCGTATTGCTCCATGCACAGCAGTTTGCTCAACATATTTAAAGGGACTCTGGTATTTATAGCAAAATCCCTATTCAGATATTATTCAGCTGGAGGCTGCAGAAATGCTTAGCGGTGAGCACCTAATCCTGCTTCCTCTAATACCACATTACTCTTAAGTTCAACACTGGTTCTAAAGAGTAAGAAGATTCTTCCTACATATAGGCTCTATGTGTTTTCCAGGGTTTTTGCTTGTGTGTAAAAGTTACACATGAGTAGGACCTTCTTCCTCTCCAGATTCAACAGTGAAAGTGGGGAAAATATGACATTGGCTAAACCCAGTGCTGTGAACAAGCTTAGAATATCTGAGCTTGTTCACAGCACTGGGTTTAATATCACTTGAATAGGATAAAATGTTGGATGTCTAATTTGTTGACAGACTAATTAAATTTTTAGACTTTTAGGATACAAAAGAATTTGAAGAGTATCTGCCCAAACTTCCTTTTTTAGTTCAGTTTTTGGCGAATCTGTGGCTTGTCAGAGGTGGCTGTTGTGGTAAAAGCGTTCCTTAGAACGGCCCTTACACGGGACAGAGAGGGATCCAGGAATGATCCGTCCCTATCTCCAGCAAAATCGGGTCCTGTAACTTTGCTCTAGGCGACTTCTCACCCTTTCGCCCAAGTCTGTCCCGATTTTAAATAAACAATGTCTAGGAGCTCTGGAAGATCTAATCTTCCTTTCATTAATTTAGGACCCTAATTTGGTAGCGTAATGTGGCCAGATCAAAACAAT